ATGGAGCCCACCGACGCCTCGCTCTGTCGGGCTATTGTGCAGCTATGTGCAGAAACGCCAAGCATTCCCCGGAGCAAGCTAAATTTCGCCGCAGAGAGAACTGTTGCGTGGGATCAGAGTTTGTTGCGTCAATCCCATCGCCGCACTTCTTTAGCTGCACAGGCGTTTGTTGTACTGATGCTGTCGGAAAGAAGATGCAGATGTGCTGATGTGCTTGAGGCCTTGTTCTGAGACTGCTGAGCCATATTGTACTACATATATGAGGCAACAGTGTGTTCGTGACATCAAGCTAGCTGGTTCTTAGGCCCTGTCCAACATCTGCTTAGATGAGCTGTTCATGAATTGTAACAATGCGCTTGAGAACTGAGGTTCCGTAGAATATTGATTATCAGCTAGGCCACACAGGAAATCCAGGCATCATGCCATTCAGGAGACCAAGATGCTTCAAAATGTGCCAGATCAAACAGCTTTGCTTCAAAATTTGGCTCGCTGCTGATTATGCACCAAATCATAAGTCTGGGCAGCAACGGCAGATGTACTACCAACAGCATCAGTGTCTGAGTATATCTTTGGTTAACACGGGTAGATTAGTGACACGAAGGCCTAAAGTGATTCAGCTGACACGGCCAAAAAAGCAATTCTGATGCTCGATCCTGTGATGCATTGAATGCATTTTGTAAATGTCACGTCCGTTTCGGTGACGTTTTTTCCTGCTACTCAAGGTGGCATGTATGCACAAGCCGTTCGAACGGGTCATGGGAGCATTGCAGTTGTTTTGAGAAGAACTTTTTAGTGATAGTCCAAGAAGGGCAACTTGCATGCTGCCGGGCTCCAAGTAGCGCTAGATACAGTCGGGGAGGCTGCTTGGAATTTCTGGGAAGCTCCAAGGGCCAAACATACATGAAGCCGCTGCCCGCCACGTTTGTGCTCGTCGCCTATAGCCACAGCCAGTGCTAAGCTGATGGGACAAACGCCACCTGCCTTCTCGAACTCCTCTCGCGT